TCTCTCTCTCTCTCTCTCTCTCTCTCTCTCTCCTTCTTTCCTCCTTTCTTTCGCCGGTATACGTTAAATTGGAAAGTAAGGTAAACGATCGAAACTTTTTACCACACGGTGAACCGGTTAACGATCGTTTGTACGATTGCTCGTGCACTCGCGTTTCGAAACTTTAACGCATCGTCGGGCATTCAGAGACGATCAGCCCTGCACGGGGTAAAGGAGAGATCGTTATTATTTGGATAAAAATTCACGTTACCTCGAGGGAACCGAATGTACCGGGTTTTGTGGATCGGAGTGCGAAACTTTGCGCGATAAAGACGCTGCTCGACCGTGCGCTATCGTTCTCCGTTGCACCCGGAGAAGCTTTTACCAGCTTCCAACTATCGAACTCGTCGCGTCAACGAAAACTAATTAACGTTATTCGAAAAACAAGAGGCACGAACATTTTTCTCTTTTTTCCCCCCGTTTTGTCACAAAGGGCACGGGAACACGGTCGAATTACGGCGGCCTCAAAGCTTTGCTGCCGAGAAAGGTTGGTCAGACGATTGCAACACAGTCTCCGGCGAAAAATACGAAAAGTCGATTGCGAATAGGTTAATTTGTTTAAAGTATGCATTCGGGGCAACTGGCAAAGCAGTCCTTGGATCGTACTCGCCTTACGGCTAGCCGCATACCTTTACATTCACTCGGAAAATGGCAGCTGGGGTCGGTTTAACGCTCTCGGAGTATCGTGTAACCCGTGTGTCGCATTTCCGAAGGTAATTCCAATGTCACCGCGGCTGTTCCACGCGGTATCGGAGTAGCGGTATTTATTGCGAAACGATTCCCAAGATCGTAATCGTTGCACCAGCTCGCCGAGAATACCACTCATTGTTCCATCTATCGACCATACGCACGGCACTCGCGCGAGTAATTGAAATCAGTCGGGTCATTTGCCCTGCATCGAATTTCTTCGAGAAAATGGTCCAGCCTTCCACGGGAATGGCACTCGATAAATTTTCATACATTCCCACGCGGCTACTGGACGAAATTTACATAACGACGCTGCGACGATTTTCCTTAATTTTCCTTATCTCTCGTCACCGAAACGAAAACGAACGTTTAAATAGTTCCACTCTCGGCTAATTACGTTTCCAATTACGCGAGTCGACTCGTATTTATCGAGTTAGCATCGTACCGTGTAACGCTTCCCTGACGCGTGGCTTACCCACGGTCACGGTGCGAAATTATTTCATCGAACGATACCCATAGCCGAGCCTAGTTTTAGGAATACACGCGGTTCAACAGAGATTTAATCAAATCGTATCACGAGAATCGAGAGTGGCTTAAGAGCTGCCCGTTTGTTGGAGATTTCGTTTAATTTGCCATAGATTCAGGTGCTTGCATTTAATTATCTACACGTGCGTTACAACGAGCGACACTTAATCCCCCGGCGATCCATTAACCGTAAACTATGGAATTATTAAAGCGAATCACCTTGCGACACGCTTTCCTCGCTGAAACTTACGATAATAACGTTTTCGCTTGCATCGCGAAGCCGTACCGCGCCGCGCCGCGCCATCGCCGGGATCACGCAAAAATCGCCTATTTCGTCAATTTATCGGCTACCGCTGCGTAACGAATCGGCGCGGCGTAAAATTTTGAACGATTCGATTGGCCGACGCGTTCGCAGCCATAATATTTGCCGGAGATTTAATTAAATTGGGATCGAGCCGACATTAGAGCGCTTCGTTGATTCGATCTTCATTCAGGGACCAATCGCGTTCATCGGAGTCAGGTGGAATTGGCGAGGTAGTAACTCGAGCGTTCTTTGTAATCGCGGAGCGCGCACGTACCGCGATTCGGGATTCGGGGGTGGACACGGTTAAAAATCGTCTCGTTTCCGTGAAATTGAAGAGCCAGCTCTCCGAGAACAAGAAGGATCGCGTAATCGGGGCAAGGCCCGCGCGCAAATAGAGTAGCGAAAGGTTGAGCAGATGATGATATAAACAAATTATAAATAAAACATCGAACATCTCGGGAGACTACGCGTGTGGGTGGTCGACTGTGTCGTACACCATCCGCGACGTCGTTCCCGACGTCCTCGTGGTCGTCGTCATCGTCGTTGTCATCGTCGTCGTCGTCGTCGTCGTCGTCGTCGTCGTGCTCGTTGTCGTTGTGCCAGCAGTGTAACGACTGCTTTGAATTTCATGAGGGTGCGAATGAATTCATGGTGGGATGGCGCGCGTGGGTTTGTCCCCGGGGACTGAACGACTTCAAACACCCACCCCGGTGGCTCTGCTCGTTCCACCGCGATGAAAATCTACGGGAATCGAGGCGTAATTCGGAAAATAATAACAACCGTAGGGTAGGATCGGCTAGGGTACTTCACCGTTTGCCTCGGATCAATGGAACGAAATGGCGCAACGTTCCCGAGTCTACCGATGGAATCCAAGGAGAAGCTTACGGGGTGGCCGGGGTGGGAAATATCGGTGGATGTTTGAACAAGGCGGAACGGTGAAGCCGGACCAGCCGCGTGACGTCACGCGCGCTGGTAATCTGTCGAATGCC